CTGCCTCCGGTAAAAGAGTCATAGGCTCGATTGTGAGGGATTCGACCTGAGAAAAGAGTCGTTTCTAATATTGGAAAATTACGGTAATAGACTGCTTAGTAATTAAGCCTCGTGCGTCGTCCAAACGTTTTGTTCGTTGAAATTGCTTATTGCTTGCTCATGTTTACACAATTAACCGTATCTGATGTAATCAGCTGGGACACAACCTATGGTTAAATGGAGCAGACAAAGGCGGTCGCGTCTTGATCAGCTGGAGAACATTACCTCCCCTCTCAATGACCGCTCATTGTTTGTGTAACACTCCAGCTGAATATGATATATAATGAAATAACCAGGTTAATCAGCATCTGATAAAATATAGTCCCTCGTAATAATGTATTTCAATTAACAAGAGTACGGAACGATAGCTCGCTAGTGTGCTGATACAAACACAAGTGTGCGATAAGTGGTTCGCGATGGCTATTTCTTACAGGTGAACGTACTAGTGTGAGGTGTACGTTTACATGGCGTTTTTCGGCTGCAGTAAGTTGAATTAGTTTTGCGAATGAACCGGACAGATTTTAATATATATAACAAATGGCAGTTGCGTTCCGCAAATCCTGATATGGCATGGATTTTATGTGCCAGGTTCAGTCCACCTCCACCTAAAGTAACGCATTACAGTATAAATTGCTTGAGAAAATGGATAAATAAAATTTAGTTTTGCCATTCGATCTTTGTTATAAAATTATCAAGAAATAACGGATCTGTTGGGCTCTTTTTTCCATTTATAAACCATTAAGTATCGAGCTATTTACGAGAAATTCTAACTGCCACGATCTAATGTCACGTTGCAAGGCATATGGTGACGTTTCAACTCTGAGCCTATTTCTTTGTGTAAATCCGTTTTTAGACTTCGCGCCGCCTATTCTTAACGCGTGGGGGAAGGGGGGATTCTGTAAGACGATTACACGCAAAACCGTTTCATAATTTTCGATCAGACAAAACATGTCCAAACACTAAGTAACACATACCTCAGTTGGCAAGTAGCATATCAGTATTACAGCTGTATTCCAGCAGTTTGTTCAAACAGTGCAATACCAGCATCGATTTTACGGTTACTGCTACGAGAGGATCTTTGTCTACAGTTCTATGACAGCTCATGGAACGACTAGTCCGTGTGAGAAGCGGAGATGGGTCATCAAGTTTAATATGACTAGAATGTAAAATCGTTCCCCCTCATCCTACGCTGATTCAGAGAGTCTAGGTTTGTGTTCTGAACTCCATCCTCTTTGCAGACCTTTCAGCCGGTGCTAAAATTTTTGCCATTCCGTGATTGCCAGTGCTACGATTACCGACCTTGGAAGGTTCAGTGGCAGACCCTGATTCTTAACTACGAAGTCTTTGAAACATATATTCATCTTCCTCTGTCCTTTGCAAGAATGTGCTACGCTATTTTAATCGTCATAAGCTTTCATTATTAAATGATTTGCATATTGAGGTAGCGGTCGAACTGGATCCTTCGATTTTTGTATAAATTCCTTAAAAAATTATCAGTGGTGCCGGCAAAAACCAACTGCTTCTGCTTCATACGACTTTGTGTCCTTGAGAATGCGCAACGAACGTTGGAGCTCTTTCAATTTCGTCTGTCATCTGCTCTCTGTACTCAGCGACGATCAAATATTTTGATCATCCTTCGCCAAAGCGAGGATTTCCCAATGGTTGAAAGGGGACTTGTTCGCCACTACCCCGTCATATCTGTCCGTGACTCGAGCCTCACTAATAAATGCAAAGCCTCATTTCTGTCATTCGATTGTGTTGGATGTGCGTTTCGGTGATATTGGTGAATTTCATCCCGGCTGGCACCCGAATGCACTGCTGAACGCCACTCCAGAGAAACGCTCGTGAGGGGGAGGGGAGCAGAAAATAGGTGTACGTTTGCGCACTGGCCTCAACAGCACTTCCAACGCCGTAAAGGACTGCACTCTGTTAGTAATCAGGCCCGGAATGTCGCCAAGATCTTCATGGTCAAGCATAATGTATGAATGGGCGGTGCTAACGACTATCTAAAGGCGTATTTATCCGCATTTAGATCGAACAAACGAAGAAGATTAACGCGGACCGTACTGAATATGTCACACCTATAGTTGCTGCCGAACCAAACTTGCTGCTCAACGAAAAACAGAGACCAAATTCTCCTTGAGGTTTCACCGGCGGCACCATTGGGTTTATAATGGGAAAGAAGGCTGTACCATGTGGAGTAAGCTGCGACATTTTGTCACCTGATGTAGCACTTCCGCTTCTGCACATGGAGAAAAGAACAAACAGGTGCTCATATACCACACATATCGTATGACTGTAAACAACGTATCAACACGGCAGCTACTCCATGCTACTGACAGCAGAATCTTATCAATACTGCACTAGAAGTTTAAAGAGAAGGATGTTCACAGATATTAAATGAATCTGGCAAACAGTGGGTATAAACCT